ATTATAATAAAAGGAAAAAGAATTGGAAAATTTTATTTGTCAAGGATGTTAGTCACGTCGTAATTATACTCGAACAAAAATTTCCCTTCACTTTAATCCTTTGCAGTCCATTAATATAAATAAGTAAATATGAAAGAACAATATTACAATTTAAATACAATGTTCAAATCTGAATATATCATCCAATCTATTTTTATATCAATAGATATAAAAATTTTAACAATTCTACTCGAAAGTATTTTTCACAAAATGAGAGAATGATCGTTTTTGAAAACTTATTATTCTCAAATTTATTCTAAACTCTGGATGAATATTTCTCCAGAATTTTCTAAGATTTTCTTCTTGAAAAAGAATAATGTTCTCCTCTGGGACATTTTTAAAATCGATCTCATCCCTTTGAAGAATCTTCTTTCGAAAAATGTTTCGGCACAAATCGAATGGGCCCAAGTCGGATGAATGCACAATGATGAATCGTATCTCGGGCAAAGAAATTGGATCATTAAATGGCGCGACCTTGGATCGACGACGAAGAGGAACGAATCGACGTTCTTACCCAGATTCTTTTCTCCTTCTTTTTTCTTCTTTTTTTTTTTCTTTTGCTAATTACGCGTATCGGGTAATTTAATTAATGAGGGCACGCACGGTTTCCAAGATTACAGGGAAATCCTCCCGTCGGCTCGATTTAATGGCACCTCTCACGAAGTAACATTCTCCCCTTTTCAAGTTCGATTCAAGTTCGATTCAAGTTCGATCGAAGGGGAATGCAGTTGGCGAAAGATGGACGCGATTACTTTTATCAGATGACAAATGCGAAACTTTTTCTAAGGGCGGAGATTGATGAGACGGATACGTAGATTCGAAACGCATCGATCTCTTCGCGGACGTACGAGTAAACAAGATATCCATTAGGCGAGGAAAAAAAGGTTCTGCGTTTTAATGAACGAGATATGATTTATTTTTTAAGTAAGAGAGAATGACTTCAATGAGTCCCATCTATTGTTTATATTTATCTCAAACTTTGTTCATCCGATAATTTCTATTGATATTTGTATATGTTATAAACATTAAAATTGGAATATGGCAAAATATAAAAGATGGGCGATATTTTAAGATAACCGAGCGGACTGCAAACAGACGAGCGAAACAGAACTTCCTATTTCTCAAAACAAATCTACCTATTCCCACATGAATGAATAGAACAGAATAAGTAAAAACTTCGAATCCTCCAAATCCTCTTTCCAACGAGATCCAACGTCTTTCAAGAAGCTCTCGAACTCGGATTCGCGGCGCGAGTTGGTGCGGAAAAGAGTCGGATGAGCGGATGCATAATGGTGAATCATATCGCTGCCGAAGAAACTAGATCATTAAGCCATGCAACCTTGGATTTCTTGCCAAGTTCACTGCACTGTCCGGCCGCCTAGTGCTGAATATATATATATATACATATACACACATACACACTTATATTCCAGCACCCGTATCCTCCTTCCTCCTCCTTCTTCGCCTTCCTCTCTCTCTCTCTCGCTCAATTCCATCCAGATCGCGCAACCTCTTTTCTCCTTCGCACTCCGCTCCATACGATCAATCCAACAGCTCCTCTCTTCCCTTCCTCCTCCTCCTCCTCCTCCTTCTTCTTCGCACGCACTTACGTACACGCGCGTACGAAGAGGCAGAAGGCGCGCGCGTTCAACGATTATTTTTCTCCCTCTAGAGGAGCCATCCTGCTAGCCTGTCTCCCGGGGAACCCGGCCATCTAGGCCTATCCTAGTTTTTTGCCTAGCGTCGTCCACACGGTGGCTCTGACCGGCCGGAGGGGAGGAAGCTCAGCCATCCACCGGTCTTTCAAACCATCTAGGGCCGGTTTCTCTCTGCCTTATACGATCATTTCTTCGCGCGCGCCACGCGAATCCGAATAAGACGGGGGTGGGCAGGGGGAGGGGGAGAGGAGGGGGAAGAGAGAGGCCAAATAGAGACCGTGGAACGGCCGTGAGTCGAATCGAGAGAGCAAGAGGAAGTTCAAGGTGAGAAAAAGCGATGGTGAAGAGAGGGGGGGAGAGGTGTACACTGTTACGCCGGGGTATTCGGGGAGATGTAAGAAGGGATGTAAAGGGGGGAAGGGAGAAGAGAGAAAGGTTTCTTGGCAGACGACGACGATAACGAGAGGAGGGGAGGGAGGGGAGGTGTAAACAACGTAGTCCAACTTTCCATCGTGAATCCGACTACGTTCGATCCATGGCGAGCGCCATGGATGTTGCATTCTGATCTCCACCCCGCCGTTCGAGGAATTTCGTGGGCTCGAACACAACGAAATAATGGCGACGTGATCGGTGGCGGTGCTACGCTCGCCAAGATAATGCTTGTTTCCCTGGCTGGCCGACGCTCAAGATGAGACTCCGTGCTCAGTTTCTATGATCTTCTTCCACGGATGCGAGGAGATTTATTTAATCGTGCGCCGAGTAAAAAAGATATTTTACACTCGAGAGAAAGAAAGAAAAAAAGGGAGACGTTCGAGCAGGTGATAACGTTCGAGGATTCGAGGAGGGATTGGAATTGAAGAAGGTCGCGCCATTCTCATGCTTCCCATGCTCGCGAGCTTTGCATATAACGTCGGAGGATAACCTCCTCCTGTTTGCATTGTGTCACGCGTGTTACGACGACGTAAGTGTACACACGTATTATACGCCACGAGATTCTCTGAAGCGGCCATTCATTCCACCAATCCGTCGAATGACATCACGAACGATTATTTCTGATGCGATGGGATGATTGCTAGGAAATCGTGGATTAATATCTCGTTCGTGGACGTGGATGGGGAGGAGGAGGGAGATGGAGGGATGATCGTTTCGGAAAATTTTTATTTCTCGATTAATCGTGTCGAGGATGAAAGTTTCGAATTTTAAAATTGCGTGGAAGACGATGTGGACACGTTCGATTTATTCGAGCATTCGTTTCTTCGTAAATTTATCCTTGAATTTGTTCACTTCTGTTTGAATTGGAACAAATATGTTGATTATAAGCTTCGCACGAATCCAAAGTTGCAATTTGTAATGAAATCAAAAGCAACTGTGGCAATTAAACGTGATAAAAATGTGTGGGATAAATATCGTGATCAAACCAAGATCGTAATAACAGTGAAACCGATCTGAAAATTATAGTACTAGCTTTATTAATGATATAAGTTTATTTTAAACTTAGGTATTTCGACTCTCTCTCTCTCTTTCTCTCTCTCTCTCAAATACAAAATTGATCTCACAGATGTCGCATTGTACACTGTTCGTTCAATTTCAACCGATTCAAATTTCTACGCAAAAGACGGTGACCGATATCGAACTACACGAATATCACAGCTTCGATAATTAACTATTCCAAAATATGGATCCCGCGCTGAACACGATTCCTCGCTCTTCTCTCTTATCAGTCAATGCAGCAGCAGTAGCCTGCAATTTCCCTATCGAGACCCATACGCTTTTCTAAATTTGTCCAACACCAGACCGGACAATTTATCGCCGTTCGATCGTTAACGCTATCTAACATCCTCCATTTCTCCCCCTTTCTCCGCCTTATTTAGATCCGCGCCGAGGCCACGGGGCTTTAATCGTTTCGAAAATTACAATCCACTACTACTACCACCACTCTCTCCATTTTCTTTCTCTCCCTTTCCTTCTTTCTCTCTCTCTCTCTCTCTCTCTCTCTCTCTCTCTCTCTCTCTCTCTTTCTCTCTCTCGAGTAGCGAGGTCGTAGAGCAAGGAGAAAGAGAATCACGGTCGTAACAGGAGATCAACAACGCTTTTTCTCCCCGACTGCATAACTGTTCCCCTTAATATCTATTATAAACTTACGCGCCCCTTTACGAGGAAGGAAGAGAGCGAGAGATACCATCGGGATAGGAATATGCATGAGGAGTAATACACCAACAGATCCGGCGGTTTATCGTTGTAACACATTGTGTTTAACGGTATCGACCGATCCTAAATAGCTGTTCGTACGATTGTGAGCGGTATAGCGATCTTACTGCTTCTGGTCATGAGTAATGTGACGTCTGTTCGATATTATATGGAACGTGATAATTGACTCGGATTATTATTACGGGTGAAACGAGTGAAGCGTTTCGAGTAAATAAGTTGGGAAAATAAGTTGAAGAAAAAATTTTTTACATCTTGCGAGAAATGTATATTTTTTCTAAAAGGGGGTAGTTGGAATTTTGTGCGAAACCGGAAGAAGAAGAAGAGGGTGGCCAAGGAAAATTTAAATCTAATTTTGTGAAATCTTTTGTCCGGATTCCTAATCATTTATTTTCTATTTTTGTTTAATTGTAATGAAAAATTAATTGCACGATATTTTTTATTTTCTATAATGTAATCAAGTGAGAAATCAAATTTTAATTATATATATATTAGTAAGAGATTTGATCAACACACGTTTATCCGTAGTTTACGAATGAAAATGGACGATAATGATACTAATTAATATCCACTAGTGACTCAGCACAGCAACATTTGTATCGCGATGATAGCCGATGTTTCGTATCGTTGTAACGACAATGCGTGGAATAACGTGATATTAATATACCTTTCGAGAGAAGGTTGTCCCTTCGACGCGAAATTATTATTGGATAATGATAATGCTTTAACCGATTGATATTGATGCGCCACGAAATTGCATATGCAATTCGCGGTATTAACAACGCGGAAGGAAATATTAATAAGACGATCTTATTGATACATAATACGAATATAATAACCTGGCAACGATGAATCGAGGATTCTTAAAGTGATTATGGAATTTTAGATTCCACTTCGATGGACAGACTATTAATTTGATCGATGCATTTTGTAATTGATTCTTACGTATGAAAGCAACATCAGAAAATGTGTATTTTAAAGCTATTATAATGCCGTTAAAATATCATTGATAATATTATATCCGATATTATGCAGAATATCCCATTCCCATAATCCTTTCCCCATCTTCCTTATCTTTAATTATTAAACGTAAATTACCTTATATAAGAATTTCTACGTACTATGGAATCCCCATGCACAAATCCTTAGGATGCTTGACTCATCTGAAACATAAAAATTAATCCAATATTAGAATAAGAATTAATATTAGAAAAAGAAACGATAGAGCAGACTGATCTCCAATTTCCTTCAACCAGACTGAACACGATATCATAATTATCGTCGACTCTCTTTCCTCGAGTGAAAGTTCCCCTAAAGCCAAGGGTCCTAGAACATACGTTTGAAAACCCGGAACCTAATCTAAACAGTCCTTTCGTTTCGAGAAGGGCAAGGAAAAAGGAAAGATGGCGAGGGGAAAAAAGAGCAGCGCGAGAATGGAACCAAAAGAAGCAAACGTTTCCCGTGTAATTCGGTCCTAACGTTGTCCTTATGCCGTGTAACATCCGATACCTTCACCTTCCTCCACGAGAACAACGTAAGATAACACCTGTGATATAACTGAATAAAACGGTCCGATGACCGAACACTCTTCTGTGCACATGGTTGCATGCGCGCAGTGGCGATCAACCGAGAAGAGATCATCGTGATCGATTCATCGTTACATCGCCCGATCTTTTCGAAATTCTGGATCAAACTGTTCTTTGTGAAGTTTTTATAAATCGAGTGAATAGGCAGTGGATATTTGGGGAAAAAACATTTGCTACATCGAGTTTTCTGAAATCCTTAATTGGGAGGATATTAAATATTATATAATTTCTAAATTCTCGATGAATTATTGACAAAGAACGATTGGATGCAATGAATTTCTGAATTAAAAGGAAATGAGACATGTGAAGTCATAATGAATATTGTTGTTTGTGAAATTACCTTTATAAATTATTTAGAATTTAGAATTATTAATTTAGATTTAGATAGAAATTATAATTATCTCAAATTCTTTCTCCTCTTTTCCAAATTCTTTACTCACAATTCTTAAACTATCAATAAATCTATAAATGAAAATGACAATTGCACTTTATAGTTTCCATAATTATAAGTATTTCGATTCGATGTTGAATATAATAAATAATAAAAATTTTAATTTTATCAATTGTTAATTTTATCAATTTCCAATCCAATACATCAAGTAGCAATTTTCCACTTTCACTACTCAAGTTCAAGTATCTATGCAAATAACACGAAAGCCAGCGTGGAATATCGATTTCCATACTCGAGGCAGACACAAGAAGCGACCCACACCACCGCTTACCTGGGTCAAAACGTCGATGAACCTCGATGTGAATGATTTTTCCCTATAAATCGTCACGTGTCATCTCAAGAATAGGGCTCGCGTGTTACACCACTTCCTAGTTAACTCCTCGAGACATCCTCCATGGTGTCGCACGAAACACGCGACAAAACATATACCAGTTAATCGTCGTTACGTCTGTACTTGGTTCGAGCGCTATAAATGTATACAGGGTGTTCGAAATAGATACGAGAAAGTTTAAACGATTCCAAAAACGGAAAATAATAAGATACGAAAATGTTGAAATGAGATTTTTCTTAAATTACAACCTTTCTACAACAATTCATTTAAATTCTCAATCACTCTATTTCCATATCTCTTCATCCAGCGTGAAGCAACATTGCTCCCGATTTAAGAAATTAAATCTCAACTGACATTTCTGCGCCCCTCTTCCTCTCCCAACTTTTTTCCGAAATCATCTCTTTTTACAAATTTTCCACCCATTTTTTTTTCTTTTCCGTACACCCTGTAGATGCAGCATACGAACGCATAATATAGACCATGGAAGATCAATTTCCCTTGAATAAAACATCCTCTCGGCCGGATTGGCGTTATCGATGGAAGAGGCTCTAGGCTGAACGACCTATGGCTACGCGCAATCGTACTCGCAGCCTCGAAACGGATGCAAGAATGAGAACATGCTTGTTCCACGTCCTACGCACAGCTAGACGTACACCATGGAGGCGATAGCGAATATTTGGTATCGATGTCCCGGTGTTAATAACGTTGGATCGGAGCGCGGCCATCGAGACGGCGGCCGCTCGTGTAAAGCGGATGTAATGAAAGGTTTGGAAAGTGATTTGTATCACTGCAAATACCCGTACCCGCTTTTAACGCTCGATAACACGCCCTCTGACAAGTTGCTTGTCTTCCCGAATGATGGTTCGACCGAACAGATCGCTGCGTTTCAGATATCGATACGTCACGGCCGGTTATGTTTGGTGATTGAAGAACGAGTAGCGATTATTGGCCATTCTGGATACGTTGTAATTTCAATAATTTCGAATTGAAGAATTTCGGAAATTTTATTCGTAAAAGAGAAAACGAGGTACGATCTGTATGGGGAAATTATTCTGATTTTTCACAGATTTAATCATAATGTATAAAATATGAAGTGAAAGGAAAATGAGAGGGATGAATGTAATAGGAAAGTAACAAGAAGTAAATTTTTCTTTTTAAGTTAAATATATGATCTTTTGTAATAAAACTTTTTAACGTGTAGAAATGATAAATTTCTAAATATTTTTTTACTTTTCTTAAAGTAAAAAAATTCCTAGTGTTTCGTTCGAAAATCTAAATTCAAAATTCAATCTCCTTTTAAAAAAATCGAATATTTCATCGTGAAATTTCTCAGTTTAATCTTAACACCTTTCCTGCCAATAAATCTCCGCTGCAAAAATTTTATTCCTCCCGATTCACGTCACAAGTATTCATTTCATGCTCGGATATTCTTCATCTTATATTCATCTTTCCTCGTCCACTTAGTTTTCCATTCAAACATCGTCAGAGAAAACCTTGAGAAACGTTTAATTCGCCTTTAATTCGCGTTGTCGTCGATCTATTAATATTCTCGTGGGTATCGATCGCGATGAGGAATCAATTCATAATTTAAAAGAATTGAAAGATGGAGGATATGCCAGAAGCAACGACGCTGGCATCCTGTGGTCCATACCGTGGAGAGCCCACCTTCCTCTTCACTCCCTGTATCCGCTTCTTTCCGCTTGGACGAGAAACGATGACTCGAATACCCTCTGGCATCGACTGTCCGCCCGCATGAAAAACCTTCGATGTGCGTACTACGCGGACCGGAAATACCCCCGGGGATGCACAAGACCCCGCCACGATCCTGTTGCGGAAGTGCGGCATACAGAATGTAAATTCGCCTCGATCGAGCTCTTCGCTTTACGAGAAGATAAAATTGATACCTTCTTCCGTCGTGTATTGTGACACTCTCGTTGGAAATTGCGTGACTCTTAATTGCGCTTTCAAAGGAGAGAAAAAAAAAAAAAAAGAGAGAAAGAAAGACTAGACATTTTTCTGAACGACGAAACGTTCCTCTTTTGAAAGTTATCTAGGAATAATTTTCCTATTAAAAAAATTTCTAATAAGAAGAATCTATCATTAAAAAATTAGCTTGGATATTAATAACCATGGCTAATGATTTGTTGCTAAATCCTAAAACGAGAGAATCGTGAGTACAAAGAATCTAAATTCCTGAATCAAATCCTGTTAAATTTATCTCTTTTATTCTTCCAAACTTGCAAGATCCTATCTTCAGAAAAATAATATCGTACAAATATTGTTGAAAGAATAAATTTCGATATTTATCCACCGACCACCAAGATCGAAACAAAGTTCAAGATCAAAGATAATCAATCATACGAACGAAAAGAATATGGAGGCGACCTAAGTCGAGAGGGTTTCGACGTTCTCACCGAGTGTGTCTGGCCATCTAATTAAACCCATAATTACGGTCGACATGCATAATTGGATCGGAAACGACTCGAGCTGCGAAGATCAAAGGTCCACGACCGATTTCTCTCGTGATCCACGGGACACGAGCGAGAAACGAGCCGGCATGGGAGTGAAAGAGCTCGAACAAGAGAGCACGGATCGAGAGAGTACTCGTTGCACCTGAACTCGAACGTTATTGTTTTAGGACCAGGTAGATAGAATTTAATAGGCTTCGGACACGCTTCGAGGCCAGAGGGATCTCCACTGGACCGAGTCCTCTTCGGTCAAGTTTGTAGACAGGATCTCGGTTTCCGTTTACTTCTTATTTTAATTTCGTTGGCTTCTTCATCTTTCATTCCTCTACCTGGCCCATTCTTCTCGCTCACTATTTTTAACATTGTGAGGCATACCTCTGGCTTCTCGCTGTGCTATTATAGTAGCCCAAGTAATTTTTCTTTCCTTTTCCTTGTCGCTCTGTTTTTGCCATTACTTTGTTCCTTACTTTGTTTCCTGCTCTTCTGTCTTTCGAATCATTTTACCCTTTTATTTTCTTGTTCTTGTTTCGTTTCTTGCTTAATTCGTATCGTTCGATTCATTTCTTTTTTTTAATATTTTTCTTTTTCTTTTTTTTTTTTTGGCAAGAAGAGCATTAAGATTTAAATTGAGCAACCCGGAAATAAATTGCGGTTTTTAACCCCTTGCACTCGAGTTACCCGGTTTCAATATGCGTAGCAATTTGTAAATGAAGATTCAGTGGCAACATTAATAGATATATATCGCAAGAAGTATAATATACTTTTGCCATTAAGGATCTTGGGTAAAATCGTAATAATGTTATCTTTCTTTCTATCGTATATACTTTCTTATAATATTTTTATAACACTACGTAAAATATTAAAAGTTCGTTTATCGATAAAGATAAAACTCTCCGCGTCGTGATGTCCATTACCATTAATTTTCTCATGATCGTGATCAGAAAAATCACTATATAATACTCACGCTTCGGAATACGTTAATTTTCTTTCTAGATAATTACTTCCTAACACGTAATTTCCAAGAGAGGATATCTTATATAATATTTCTCGCACGGATATTAAAATACGATTAAACGACCCGTAAAACCAAATAATTTGTTGCAAAGTCCTACATTAAAAGATTATTAAAAAGGTGAAACGCGCCGATAAAACGAAACCGGTCATTTACCCCGGAAAATTGTCGACGATCCACGACGATTTTAAACGGATGCGATACAAACGGAGCTAACCTCGAGCTAATTGCTATCAGCATCTTTCCTCGAATGAAAATCGAACGAAACGAGGGGAAACGAACGGACGAGAGAAAAATATCTGTCAAATTACACTT